TGGATCTCACACTGCTCTGAATCAGCCGGAAAATCCCTGCGATGAGAACAATCATCTGTGCATGCAACAGTGCCACACATTAATTCTTCAGCAAATAAGATTAAAATCTGTGCATACTTGAGACTCTGGGAGACAAAGGCTGGGAAACCAAAGAGAGCTTAACCCACACTGCCTGGGTTGGGTGCACAGCACTCAGCACATCCAAGCATTCTGCCCAGAAACCACCCTGTTGCACACACACTTGTTCTGTGCTCCTGAGTTCCAAGCTGATCACTTCACAAAGGCATTTCCAGGTTCCTTTCTCTACACCAGAGGTGATGCTCACAGTTATTTTAACAGCACAAACCCAAGGTAATTGTAACTACGGCTCTACAAAGCTTTTCCCATCGCCTGTAACTTGGATTGAAAACGGGATTTTATTGGGATGGTGTTTTCCCCCAGGCTGATGCCATGGGGACTGTCTGCAGAATGCACTCATGACACTACAGCAGCACCTTGGGGTGGGACAGCAGCTCAGGCTGGCTTCAACCACCCCAAAAATGAATGCCAGTCCAAAGAGGACTTGGGAACCTTTTACAGTGCAGAAATAATTCCAGCTTGCAGTTACATATACACACAGAATATGCGCCACTTGCTCACTTCCAAAATGAGCAGCAATAAGGGAAAAAGGGAAATTTGCTTCCCCCAAGACAAATTGCTCTCACTGTAAAAGTAATCTTCAGCATGGTAAATATACAATGTAGGAGTTGGATAATACCTGTATTTCACATTTCTGGGAAGATTCGTGAGTGGGACTCATTCAACCACAGCTTTGCCTTCACTGGCAGCAGGAGAGCACAAGGGTTTAACCATGGAGATAAATTTTTTTTAAAAATTGTATGGACAACAAAAATAAGGTTGCTTTATAAGCCAGAATTAAGTTTAAAAGAGATCATTGTCAGGAGAAATAAATTTGCAATAGTTAACCATTTGCATTGGACTTACAGCAACCTCCTTGGCTATGAGCTCGGTGGAACGATCAGCCAAAACTGGGAAAAGTGGATTACATCTCACATGACCTCTCATTTATCTAGTTACCTTTCCACAGCACCTTGGAGCACATTCTGCAGGACATTCCTGATTCACCCCTTTCTGCCAAAACAACTGGACTGTTCACCATGTACTTCCCGAGTCAAAGCCCCAAGCACAGTATTGCATTAAGCTGACAAATCACAACACAGCCTGCTGGAACCCCGAGCACTCCAAACACCACGCCTGGGTTTTCTATCCCAGCAGAACGATGAAAAAAGCCCCGATTGCGGATGTCCCATACATTATCCCGTGCTGAGTCAGGCAGCACTGAGAGCCCTGCAGCCAGCCCTGCCAAGCCACCGGCCTTGGCCAGCAGCCGAGGGAAACAAAGCGGCAAGACAAACGGACAAGTGACCTTTACCACTGCTGGCAACAACCCCGGCCTTCCCTTCCTTCCCACAGCACCTGAGCCCAAGAAGAAGCCCAGCTAAAGAGCCAGGGGTACAAGGGCAGAAGGGTAACTTCTGGAAGCAAGGCTTTGGACTGGGACCGACCAGAGAAACTTTTCCTCCTTCCAGACTCTCCTCCTCTTTAATGGCTTCTCTCAGCTCTTGCCCTTTCTTAAACTTCCTTAATGATCCTTATCCCCCACAAGCTTAAGTACTAGGAACAATTTCAACTGTAATAAGAGAAGCCATAACACTGCCAGTGGGGCCCAGTTTCTGTGAATTCTGGCTGTGGGAGCAAACCCTGCACTGCTGGGCTGGTTCTCAGCATCCTTCACCCCCCCCACAACAAGCCACATCTCCAGGAAGTCAGAGCAATAGGAGCTGAGGGAAGGATTTAATGTATATACCATGCAAGAGCCCCACGAGTGTGTGTTGCTAAAACCATTTCCTTGAAATGGAACGGTTTTCCCTGGGTTTGTGTAATAAATCACAGCAACATCCCATCGCAGACAGACGCCAGCAAACCCTCCAGCTCCTCGGAGAAGCACTGCAGCACGATGTGCTCCTCTTCCAGCTGCTGTCTCACCGCCATTGAGGACAATCTAAGGTAAAATGTCTGTTATCCTACTTCTTCCTCCCCTTTATTCTGTCCACCCTCTTCATGGGCTGCCCTGCTCAGAGCTGGAGCCAGAGGAGCTGCAGCTCAGAGCTTCCCTGCTCAGCACAGGCCCCAGCTGCCTCTTCCACCGACAGCAGCCTATTGATTATCGCCAATTGATTCCCATCAATCAAACTCCTGAAGTTTGCATTCTGCCCGTTAACTTCCGGACCCCTCCCGCAGTTCACTGCAATTGATTGGTTTGCTTGGGCCTGATCATCACTTGTCTCATTAAAGCCAGCGTGCTGGGCTACCTGGAGGAGCAGAACCACTCAGAAATGGCATGACATCAGTTCCAGCCTGAGTGGATCGAAAACAACATTCCAGCTTTCCCACTAAGCAGGCAGATTAAATACAACCTGAGCACCAGGACTGAACTGCAGCTTTTCTTCCCCTATGTTCAGTCCACAATTAATATGTTATTAGTAGACAAATAATTCTACAAACACCAGAAAGTATTTCCTCCTGGAAACTGAAGCTTCTCAAAATCCCAGCCTCCACCTTTCACATTTAGTACCTAAAAAAAACCAGACCACGGGAACCTGGCAAGAGAGTCCTTCCTTTGTTTCTAAAACAAATGCCAATTTTGTTAAGTCTTCTGCAAGAAAAACAAACAAATCCACAATACATCACCTTAAACTAACCCAGTTTAGACCAAATATTTCTGGCAAGGTTCAAGAAGAAAAAAAATTCCTGCTTCAAACCCAAGGCTCATTAATACCTCAAACACTGTAAAAGGAAGATGGACTTGCCTGAATGTTATAGAACAAAAATAATAAAGCAAACCCAAACAATGTTGTTTTTAGAAATGGACTTCATAGTTGAAGTGTATAAAAATCCTTGGGAAGTAAGAACGGCTTCCACAAACTTGTGAATAATGCATTTTTATGCAAAGCTCAGCTAGGAGCCACCTCGAAATTCTTTACACATTCCATAAAGAAAAAAAAAAAAGGCATTATCTTACGGCAAAAAGGAAGCAATAAAATGTAAGATGACCTTGCAGGAAGCAAGAACGTCAATGCTGAAGCCCCAGCATGGATAACCCTGGGCAGAGGAGAAGGCAGATGGTGCTGGGATGCTCCAGGATGGTTCCTGCACTGTCCCAAACTGCTCCAGAGAGCCCAAAACATCTCCCCCTGCTCTGCCGCTCCCTCCAGGACAGCTCTGCCATGCTCCCAGCCCGGAGGAGCTGCCCATCCCTCCAGGATCACACACAGGACACGCTGCTGAACCCCAGCCATCTCCTGTCACCCACCCCAGTGCAGGCAGCCCTGCCCACACAGCCGGGCAGCAGCCCCTCGGAATTACCCTCACAAGTGACATTTCCATCACCTCGGGGGAGCCTGCTCATTTAAACTGTCCCTGAAAGCCTCCTCCCCAATGCAGAGACATTTCTTGCTTTGACACCAAGTTTATGATTATCATTAAAGATACAGTGAGAACAGAGGAAATAAACTCAAAAAAACGCCCACGAAACAAACTGAAGACAACACGGAATAGGACAAATTATGCAAAAGGTTAGCACAAAGCTTTTCTAGTCTGTTGAAATAAATGGTGAGACACGCTCAATATTCACGTATCAAAGTAGAGTCCAGACACAGATTTTGATTTTCTTTTCTGGATCTCTTACATTAGAAATTTAAACACTTCAAAGAAAAAAAACCCCAAAACTTTAAACACTCCAAAGAAAAAAGAAAACATTTACAACAGAAATCAAAACCTATGAAAGAAACTGAGAATGAAAGCAAGCTAAAAGCTGTCTTCCTGAAACAAAGAAGGAATCCTCGCACACTTCATTCCAGCCATGGGAAAATGGAGCAAACATCGCGCAGGGAGAGCCCCGGGACTGGCGGGAACACCCTGGGGAGCCGGCTGTCAGCAGAGCAGTAAAACCCACAATGTTAAACCAGACCCTTCATGAAAAGCCTACAAATGCCACGTTTCTGTACAGGCACTTGCAGGGCCATTTTCTAACAAATCCCCCTCTTCTGTGGAGGCCACACGCTGCTCGTGCAAGGAGTTGATGAACACAGAGCAGCTGAGGGAGACACACATCTGGGTGTTCCCCTGGAGCCAGAACCATTCCAGCAGCACAGCCCAGCACACCTATCCCAGAGCTGTCCCCAAACCGTCCCAGAGCTGCTCCTCCAGCAGCGCTGCCCTGCAACAGCTGCACCTCTGCATTACTGCAGGAAACACACCCACCAAGGCACCGGCCACAGGTAGGACCCAGCTCCCCAAACCCCTCCTGCCGTTCCACTTGGAGTTAAATTCCAGGTCTGTTTAAGCCCGACTGCAAATACTCTTATCTTTCTAAAGGCAGTTATTGAACAAGCTGCTGAGTATTCCCCACTCGGAATCTTCTTGTCCATGTAAGGTAAATGCCTTACATTTAAGCACAGCGAAAACTCGAGTTCAGCTTAAATGTAATTCTAGAAATTTACCCAGCAACCAAGTTATTTTTGTGCATAACATTTAAGTAATGCTAGGAAAGAAAAAAAGCCCACAGTGATTGATCCTCTAACCCCTGGGAACGAAGGAGCTTTTGTATCCATTTAAATACTTCCTCCCATACTGCCTGTGTATGGATCCTGCTACCACATACTCGATTCTCCCTCTAGGCAGTATCTTGGAAGTTTTATTTTTATTTATTTACTTTTTAGACCATGCCAGCTCCCCTCAAGTTTTCTTCCCTTTAATGCCAATAATTAAGTAGTTGTCTAAAGCTTATGTACTGTGGGATAAACACTTCCCAGTGATGTCTGATCATCCACACATACCAAATGGAAAAGGAAAAAAAGCCCAGGCAACAAACCAGCATGCATGGAGCTGTGCTAAACACGCTTGTAGCGTTTTAATACAGAGCAACACAAACTAATTACCTTGAATAGCCATTAGAGAAAGCAGGTCTGCCAGAGAGGTTGAGCGTTCCCAGTGGAGCCAACGCCTCGTCCCCCGATCCCGGGCACCTATTCCAATTTTCTGACCCGGCAGGAAGAGATGGAATGATATTAAAAATTGGTTTCTGATCCTGCTGCTGAGAGAGCGATGCAGTATTTAAATCATAGTGGTACATCTGTCCCCCAGAGGTGCTGACACCGTGGATGGAGATGGCCGAGACTTTCGTACCCAGCAGGTTCGACCCGGAGAAGTTGGCCTGGCAGTAAAGTGGGCCCATGTTTTCCTGCTTGATGCCGGGAGTACACAGTTCGATGAAGTCTTCCTTTTCTGTTTTCACTTGAGGCATTGGCATTTTGGAACTGGGTAAAAGGTCACCACGGTCATTAATTTTAGGTTTAGTGTCAGATAAAAGAGGAGGCTTGCAGTCTTCGCCGAGACTTCCTTCCAGGAGAAAGGCGTCGTCCGCGGATATGGGGGACAGCAAGCCGCCGTCATCGAGCAACGGGTCCAGCCGCCACGGGCTCCCGTTGGGCTCCTTGCCCGGCGACACCGGCGGCAATTCCAAATCCTGGAGGATATCCAGGGTGCTTTGGTCTTCAGAGAACAACTTCAAGTTGCCGCCATTCGAGCCCACCTGGCCTTGGACCGCAGCTCCCGACTCGGCGGGGCCGCCGCGCGCGGCCATGCCTGGGAAATCCGGCTCGAGCGGCCCCTCAGAAGACGCGGTTCCCTTGGCGTCCTCGGCCAGGCTCGAGGACTTGTTCAAGCTCGCAATACTTTCCTCCAGGAGCCTGAAGTCCGTGTCTCCAGAAGAGATGCCGATTTGGCCCTGGTGCGGAAATCCAAGGTCGTTTCCCATCACTTTTGCGTCTGTTTCACCCATGTACAGTCCCATCGAGAGCGACACTGCCTTGGAAAGGTCTGGCTGAGGCACATTGTTTCCTAATCCTTTTGGAAAGTCAGCCAAAGCAGGTTGCTGACTGGAATCTGACTGAGAAGATGCAGGGAGAGGAGATGTAGACACAGGGGCTTGGACAGTAGCTCCACCCCTGAAGGGTGGATGGAAGTCCATCACGATCCCTCCTTTGGTACTGATGAGTGCATTTTTCCTGGTTTCATCTTGATCCAACGGGTTAAGCAATTCTTTGGAATCCATTACTTTACCATTAACTATAAAAAGATGAGAAGCAGTCAAAGTCAGCACAGCAAGGACACATTAATAAAAGCTTTAAAATGAAAAGTCTGAATCCTTTGCCTGGCGAACCTGGCTCAGCTGCTCTGAGAGCAAAGGCACGGCACACCACACTCTGGGCTGACACGGGCCATGTCCCTCAGACACACTGCACTTGTTTTCAGGGGGTTTTAAGTTTTGGTTTCTGTCTACTGAGGAGGAACTATGTATTTTAAAGCTTTGCTAAACCTGGAGGAAGGGGTAAGTCTGCCTGCACACAACTCAGAATCAAGCTACATACAGCACGTGACATCTGTGCACGCACTCTCCAGCTCTGTCACCCATCCCAGCACTAAGGAAATGTAAGAATTGCTAAAGGACCCAGTTTACAAATTCTGCCAGGTAAACTTCTCTGATACGTAACTACAGCTTGAGCAGGGGAAAAGGACATTTGCCACCTTTCCAAGTCAGCTCTCCCCTTGCAGAGCAGGTCTGGAGCTCCCAGAGGCGGCACCTCCGTGGTTCAGCATTCCCCAGGACTCGACCTCCCCACCACAAAACACATCGTTTGCCACCTTTGCACGGGTTCAGTCTTAAAAAGCAACCCACCTATCTCGCAGTAAACCCCGCACAATTCTTTAAATACGTCTCAAATTTATAAAGAAAATCTAACTAAAAAATAAAGCAGGATTTTTATTAGCTTCCAGCACTCTACCCGTCCACGGCTACTCTCCAAACACACCCGACGCTGAAAACAAACCTCGTAAGTTCCAGATGTTTGTATTTGCTACACGGTTGTTGGTTTTGTTTTTGTTTTTTTTTTTTTTTTCAGCGGAGAGCATAAATATTTGGAGAAATACTGTAAATTCTTGGGCAAACTTCCGACACGGTGTCCGGCCTTGCCCCGACAGCGCCCAGCCCGCACTGCCGCAGTCCGGGGGGC